GTATGACATAAGGTGTTTTCTGATTGATAAGTATAGACGAGACATAAAGGGAGTGTGGGGAAGAGACAAATTGGTAATTGGGAATTGGTATAGGAGGATGTGTAAGAAAAGTCTCTTGAAGGCATATAATGGATGGGTTATAAGAGCAAAGGGGAAGAGAAGACTGGTGTCTGAAGAGCAGCGGCAAAGGAAGTGGAGGTGATTGTGGGAGGGATTTTCCACCGATGTAAACATTAAAGGGAAGGTCATGTGTACGGAAAGCAATTTTGGCAATGTTAGTGGGGTTCTTATGATGGAGCATTGTACTGATATCGCATCATAGTCTGTGAGACAGGCAAGTAAGTCTTCCCCACAATCTGACCAATTTTTGTTATAGATAGGGCAACTTGCTGGGGAGATGGAAGCAGTTCCGGGGCAAGTATTGAGGGTTGGATGGGGTTACCACATAGACCAGTTAGATTTGATAATGCTATAACTTGTTTTTTAGATGTTACTGTGACAAGACGGGAACAGTCGGGTCGGCTACGGAAAGAGACTTTGCCTGCTTGTTTTTGTAGACATTGCTGGAAGAGATGGGTGTTCTCTGAGTAGAAAGCTGTGGGAGGGATCACGAAAAATCGATCCCATTTGGCTGGGCCAAATAGAGTATTTAAGATACTTGTAGAGATGGGGGTATTTGAAGGACGGGGGTATGTGGAAGAGGGAGTAGTGTTGAGGGAGGTTGTTATGGAGAGGTGGACAAAAAGGCTGTAAAGCAGTAATAAGGGAGGATGGGGTAGTTCATGAAGAAGGTTGTGGGGGCAGAGGTGTTGAAGTTGAGTATGTTGGGAGAGTAGAAATGTCTCCTGGGGGGTTGAGTGTTGACTAGGGTGGATAATGTACTAGTAGGCATTGAAGAGGGAGTAGTAGTTGTAGTGTTCGGAGCCGTAGTCAAAGGAGAGCCTGGGGTCAGGGAATTGGGAGAGTTTGAATTGGTGGGGCTATGTGATGAAGAGGCAAGTCTCATTGCCACTTATAATGGTATTAAATCTTCATTGTTGGCCAAGGTAAGCCTGGAATATGCTGGGGAGAGAAATAGTCCACCCCTTGAGGGGTAAGGGCTAGGCAAGTAAAGTAGGGGAATACCATGCCCTTGGCTCCCTCAGGCCATTCAGGACTGGCACAAAGTCTTTCATCCTTTCAGCACGGTTCTGCTGGGGTTGGGGGAGGGACGGAAACAAAAAAGCAGGAGGGGGAAAAAGATCATGCAAAATTAGTTGAGTCGAGGGCCGAGTCCCAAGGCAGGGTAGTTCCCCAGCATGGGTCCCAGTCTCCGCCTCCTAAGCCCCCCCCCCCCACAACAACAATGGGCAAGGGATTGGGGGGATTAATAATAATAATAATAATAATGACAATTATTATTATTATTATTATTACTATTATTATTATTACTATAATAATAATAATAATAATACAGTAATAATGATAATAATAATAATCATAATCATAATAATAATTAATAGAAAAAAAGAAAAATATATATATTTACATATATTAATAAAAATAAAAATAAAGACATTAAGAACAATATCATTAATATTGATAATGACAATGAAAAAAACAATAATAATAACAATAATGACAACAACAGCAACAGTAATAAAAACAATAATAATAATAAAACAAAATAAAAACATCAATAACAATAAAAACAACAATAACATTAACAACAATAACATTAAAAACAACAATAAAAACAATAATAAAAACAATAACAATAACAATAATAACAACAATAATAATAACAATAACAATAATAATATTAATAATAATAACAATAATAACAACAATAATAATAATAATAACAATAATAATATTAATAATAATAACAATAATAATAATGGTTAATGGTTAATGGTTAAAAGCAAGATAAGTGTGCTAGACATCTAAGGTCATGTAGCACTATAGTTAATGTTAGTGAAAGGTGGTTGAGTTAGTGATTAGTTGTCTAAGCTGGGCAAAGGAATTGGTGAGTCAAAGGGTTAAGGTCGGGTGTTAGATTAGATAAAGGATATGTATGCGTTTGAGGAAAGAGAACAGGTTGTTGATGCAGAAAGTGTGGGATTCTGTAAGGATGTCTGATATGTTGGGAGGTCGGTAAAGGGAGGATAGGTGGGGGAAAGCAGAGGTACGGGCTGTTTCAAAACGTGGGCACGACAATAGGATGTGTACGATTGAAAGGGGAACATTACATAAGGAACATAGGGGTGGATCAGATTGTGACATTAGTAGACTGAAATCACTGTGATCCAACGATGAAGGAAGATACGAATAGCTGTGCAAGGGACATTGGTTTGAAAGGGTGGTGTGACATAAGGTGTTTTCTGATTGATAAGTATGGACGAGACATAAAGGGAATGTGGGGAAGAGACAAAATGATAATTGGGGATTGGTACTGGAGGATGTGTAAGAAAGGTTTCTTGAAGGCATACAATAGATGGGTTATAAGAGGAAAGGATATGACGAAGGTCAGGTCTGTGGGAGCGAAAATCGCGAATATTCCAATGAAGGATAGTTATACTTTCGTTGATTTAGTGTTATAGATTGCAGTACGTGTTGGATATTTTGAGGGGGAAGCAGCTAGAGGGTGGGATAAGGACTGAGAGGTTTGAGATGGGAGATATGTGAGAGTTAGTGTTCTATCAGGAGGGGTATTAGGAGATGGAGGGTCTGAGGAAGGGGATACTTGTGACATAAGGGATTCACGTGTGTATCCAGGAGGGAGTGGAAGGGATAGAGGGGATGGTGGGAGGATTAATGTGGGCGGGGTTGGGGTCGGGGTCGGGGGGGATGGGCTGTGTTGGGAGGGGGTAGGAGGATAGGGTGTAGGGGGGATATTGTTAGGAGGATGGATATCAGCAGTTACTTAGAGTGTGGAAGGAGCAGGGGTTGTAGGTTGAGTGTCAGTTTGCATTAAGTAATCTTGAATATTTTCAATCGTTTCTTCTAAGGAGTTGGTTGGGGAGTTTTGGGGGATAAAGGATTTCTTGTGAGGGGGAGAAGAGAGGACTGGTGTCTCAAGAGTAGGGGCAAAGGATGGTGGAGGTGATTGTGTGGTAGGGGAAGAGGGGGTGGAACGTTTGTTCTGTCTGTTACGGGGAGTGCGAGGGGGGAGAGGGGAAGGTGTTGGGGTTGTAGTGGTGATTGGAGTATCTGTAGTAGAGATTGGGAGTTTCTGGATTTAGGATGGCAAAAGAGTTTGACTGGGGAAGGTAGGTGGGGTTAGTGGGGGGGTTAGATGTAGGAGGGGTGGGTTTAGGAGAAGTGTTAGAATGAGCAGTATTACTGGAGTAAGGAGTAAGAGAGAATCCACGTCGACGTGCTTCCTGTCTGGCTTCACGCAGTGTGAGGCCGAGTTTGAATCTGAGAGTTGCTACCTCAGATTCAAATTTGTAGGCGGGACAGCCCCTATAAAATACATTATGGGGGCCGCCACAGTTGGCACATGTGCGTGATTGTGCAGAGCAGTTAGATCGGGTATGGCCAGGTTGGGCACATAATGGGCATCTGGCTGTGGAACGGCAGTGTTTGGCTGGGTGTCCTAGACGCCAACAATTTTGGCACTGACGTGGAGGAGGTTGGAATGGACGAACAGGGAGGGATTCTCCTCCTATGTAGACGTTAAAGGGAAGGTCATGTCTACGGAAGGTAATTTTGGCTATGTTAGTGGGTTTCTTTCGATGACCTCTGGGGGGAATGGAGTAGCATTGTACTGATGTTGCATCGTAGTCTGTGAGACAGGCAAGTAGATCTTCTCCACAATCTGACCAATCTTTGTCATGGATTGGGCAATTTGCTGGTGAGATTGAGACTGTTCCGGTGCAAGTATTGAGGGTTGGATGGGGTTCTGCTAGGATGGGGTTACCATATAGGTCAGTTAGTTTTGTTAATGCTATGGCTTGGTTTTCGGATGTTACTGTTACAAGACGGGAGCGGTCGGGTCGGCTACGGAAAGAGACTTTACCTACTTGTTTTTGGAGGCATTGCTGGAAGAGAAGGGTGTTGTCAGAGTAGGGAGCTGTGGGAGGGATCACGAAAAATCGGTCCCATTTGGCTGCACTGAAGAGAGTATTCAAAATTGTTTTAGAGATAGGGGTGGTAGAAGGGCGAGGGCGTGACGAAGATGGAGTAGTGTTGATGGAGGTAGTGTTATGGAGAGGTGGGCTATAAGGCTGTAAGGTATTAATAAGGGAGGATGGGGTGGTTGATGTTGGAGGTTGTGGGGGTAGAGGTGTTGAAGTTGGGCATGCTGGGATAATGGAAATGTTCCTTGAGGGTTGATTGTTGGCTACTGTACTAGTAGGCATTGGTGAAGGGGCAGTTATTGCAGTGTTCGGAGCCGTGGTCAAAGGAGAGCCTGGGGTCGGGGAATCGGGTGGGTTTACTTCTTTGGGGCTATTTGATAAAGGGGCAAGCCTCATTGCCCCTAACAGTGGGGATATATTTTCATTACTGGCCATGGTAAGCCTGGTTATGTTGGGGATAAAAACAGTCCACCCCTCAGGGTCCCCTTGAGGGGTAAGGGCTAGATACTAAATCAGGAGAATACCGTGCCCATGGCTCCCTCAGGCCGTTCAGCACTGGCACAAAGTCAGCCTTTCATCCTTTCAGCACGGCTCTCACACCTTAGGAGGTGGATAGCAGAAGGGTTTGGTGAAGGGACAGAAACAAAAGTGGGAAGGGAAAAAAGACCATGCATAATTAGTTGAGTCGAGGGCGGAGTCCCAAGGTTGGGGAGTTCCCCATCATTGGGTCCCAGTCTCCGCCTCCTAAGCCCCCCCACGACAACAACGGGCAATAATAAAAAGAAGAAATATAATCAACCATAATACCAAATATTTATATGCATATTGTCATTACCCGAAATATCACACTTACTTAATAATGATAGTAGTAGTATTAATAGTATTTTTTGTATTAAAAAAGTAATAAAAAATGCAGCATAAAATAAAACAAACATGACATTCATATGATAAATTTTTATTTTCCTTTTATTATACAGCATATGTCTAGATTTCTGTTTATGCATGACACTGTTCTTTTTCTTATAACCACCATTCTTAACTGTTCCCCTTAATTAAAGTAATTTCATTTATTGCTTGATACCAGATGTTAGTTGCTTCCTGACAGCTTCTTTGAGATGGCAAACTTTTTCTTTTCATCTTTGGTGAACTTCTTTTTCTGAAAATATTTTGTTGAATGATAAGTAAATATTTTTTATGTTATCATGAAAGCATGAACACCTAATAGGAAAAAATGATTGATCCAATGAATAATGATAAACAATTTGTCCCTTACTAATTGAATGACACTTGCCAGAATTTTATGAAGTTGAAAATTACGTCTCAAAAAAAATTATATATCAATAGCTTCTCATCAATCAATCATCATGTCTATAAATTTCTGACAAAAATGTCTGACAGTGTTCAAATAAAGACATAGTCACATTTTAAACCTACATATATTCTATGATCTATAAAAGTCATATAATGCTTAACTTGCAATCACATGAAACCTTACCTTTTTGATATTCTCCTTTGCTTTGAACTTCTCTCCAGTGAAGGATGTCGATGATTTTTTCCCTCCTTGCTTGTTCTTAGCCATGAAATTCAGCCTCATCTTCTTGGGATTCAGTTGCGTCTTCTTTTCCATTATCTTCTGACGCTTCTCCACTTGCTCCTAAGGTTCGAAGTGCACTTTACTACCATGAATTCACCTTAACTTTATTATTATTTGAAAATATGCAGCGACAAATAGAAGTGACCTTGTGTATCTTGTGTGCATATAAATGCTGAACATGTCACATAATTTACATTTTTTTCTTTTAGATTTAATTTTATGTAAAAATTGATGGTTTCACAAGTGCTTCACTACTGTATTAGGCCCATCTGATCTCACATGCTTACCCTATTCCTTGAATTTTTGGAAATGAAACTTATTACTTTCATTAATAATAGTATTGTTAACGTTATTATAATAAGTTTGTCAATAAGAGTAAAATAAATGTGATATTATTAGAAATGATCTATTTCATCAAAATTCAACAAATGAGATAAACAGGTAACGTTTAGTAGATCTAGCAAATTTCTCTTTGGTGAATATATATGCAATAAAGTTGACAAAGTAAAACTACAGTTGACAAGGATCATTTGTGAAAAGGTGTATAATAATAGTAACTGGAGTTATAAGTACTCCTACACCCATTCCTATCAAAGTTTTACCATATTGTTCCATATTTTACAATAGCATATTATTGTATTACTGTGCTTCTGTTAATAAAGCCAAAAATGCTGTCATAAATCTATCTTCCTACCTACCTTCATCAAGTAACGCTTTACCCGCAACTGTCTCTTTCTAAGGAGGGTTCCACTTATCTTGAGAGCCAACTCAACAGCATCTGGTGACTGAAAGATATACATGAAAAAGAATATGATCACAGGAATAATTCAAAGAGCATAATCAACTTTTTTTTCATATGAATTCATGAGAAATGCAGATCTCATAAGGGCAAAATTTGTGAGAGGGTGAAAAAATAACTAGAATGGAATTTAAAAGAGGAAGAAATTGATAATTTAAAGAAAAAAAATTGAAACAATAAAAAAAGAAGGGGAGGGGAGCCTAAGGTACAAAAATCAGGGGCAAATTGCAGTAAAGAAAGAGCAGGAAAAGGAGGAAATGAAAATGAGTATAAATAATACAGTTACCTGGAAGTTAACATAGCCGAATCCTTTTCCAGAGCCCAGCTCTTTGTCACGTACAATGCGAACATTCTCAATCGCACCACAGTCCAGAAAAATTTCTCGAACCTCTTCCTCATTGGCATCTATGAAAGCAAAAGAAAGAAAAAAATAATAAAATTCCTCAAAAAAAAATGGGACCTGCTGTGATCTACAGCTTCAACAAAAACATTGCACCTTCTTATATAATTATGATAAAAGATAATGAAAATATGTTCATCCTCACCAAATGGAAGATTTCCAATGAAGACAGAGCACTTAGGATCGACTTTACGGCTCCCAGTGACTCGATCAACTTGAAGGTGCCGTTCCTTGAGAATCTTGTTGTTGGCACTCAGCGCAGCTACTGCCGATTCCTCAGTTTTGAATCTTATATAGACAATAATGGATACCTGCGACTCGTGGAAATGTCTCCTGAGGCAGAGAAACAGAATTCCAGTTACAAACTAGTAAAATCTGTAATATGTGAATAAAGTACAGCACGTGCATTTGTATGTGTTTATGTAGATATTTACCCAAACACTCCTACACCCACACACAAAAGGAAAACTCAATGGTAACTATGAAATGCACCTAACATATCATTAACAAACATTCATTTGTGAAGTAAAAGAAAGGAAACAAACAAGCCGGAAAATAATTTTCTCTTTTCTTAAGCACTGCCAACGCACAGATGGAAAAAACAATTGATTTCTTGAGCACCTAATCCAGTGAATAAAAATAATCTAAACTGCTACACTACTTTGAAGGAAGGCAACCCATTCAGAACACTTACTTAATCATCGCCACTCTTTTGGACTCGTTAGGGTCAGCAACAGCAGCATTACGGAATCGAATTGTCTCGATCTGGATTATCATAAATAAGATACATTGCATTGGTCAAAGATTGGGATGGATGACAAAGATTGGGATGGATGAAAATATATGTCTAGACAAATACACCAAAGTAGTTATTGTTAACATAAGACTATTTTTGTAGAAAAAACACAACTCTATGAAGTTTTACCCAGAGATTGGATATAATCATTGCATTTCAAATTTCAAATGAAAAAGAACCAAGAACTTATACATGAAAAATATGCAACCTTTGAATATTTCCATTTTAAAAATCTATACATGTATATGTCCATACTTGAATGTGCATCTGTACATGTATATGAGCATATATACATGGGCATACATACGTAGGTGTTTATGTGTGCATCTTTCTACATGTACACACAGATATAAACTAAATAAGAGACAAAAAATAAACATCAATACTCACCTCACCATATTCTTTAAAAATCTTACGCAATGCTGACCGTTTTGCTTTAATATCAACATTGCCAACAAATATGGTACGCCGATCAATTTCTTCCTTTTCTTCATCACTCATTCCCTTAGTAGTTGGTTGTTCATCTTTGTCCTCCTCATCATCATCTCTGTAAAAAGAAGGACATGAGAACAAGACAAAAGCAGGAATAATTCATTCACTGTCATCCCTCTCAATCAAAGCCCAACCACTGGATTTGTATGAATACATTTTACTGATTAGAGTTAGTAACCCCATTGTTATGACATGGATACCTATTTACACAGTGGAAAAAAATCAATGAATTAAACAATTAAACAATGAATTATACAAACTTCTCATCATCTGCTTCTTTATTTTCTTCTAATGGCTTCTCAGTTGTGTTTACTGACTTCTTCATTTTCTTTTTCTTATTTGTCTTTACTCCTCCTTTATTCTCGGCAGTATCTTGGCTGTCACTCTTCCTCTTTTTCTTGTTCTGGGGTTTTGCTTCTGAATTTTCAATCTGCATCTTATCATCATTCCTGAAATAGTTTTCAATATAGTAACCCAGAAAGATATGTAAGAACATGCCTTGGACAATTTTGGGCTATTATAATACACTATAGAATGAAGGTAGACTAAATCAATATATAATACCCTAAGGAACAACCAAAAATCTAAAACAATTAACACTTTTAGATCTGAATTTCCTAGCTATAATCTGCCAACTTCCACTCATCATGACAGTTAATATATTTATCACTACCAGCATTGCAAATAATAATAAGGGAGTGCTTTTATATTTATGCTGTACAAGGAAAACTAAAATTCATTGAGAATTTAAAAAAAAAATAGTAATTCAAGAAATCAAGTGTACATACCAATACATCTGTCAACACCTTAAAAGCCAAAGCCTAGTCAAAACTGGCATAAGGCCAAGAATAAATAAAGTCAAACTATTAGTTATACAAACCTCTCCTCATCTGCATCTTGATTTTCTTGCGAGGCCTCCTGTGCTGTCTCTAATGACTTATTCATTTTCTTTTTCTTATTCTTTTTTGCCTTTCCATTTTTCTTTGGAGATGCTTGGTCCTTTTCCTTATTTTCCAACTGCTGTTCATTATCATTCCTGAAATAGAACAAGTCTTCAATACATGTATGCCTAAAAGATAGCCAAGGACATGATAATCTAGACAATGTTGGAGCTGCTGAAATGCACAAAAGAAAAAAGATGAATCAGTAAATAAAACCCAAAGGGACAATACAAGAAATCAAGGGTATACATAACAGTGCTTTTGAAAACATCTTAAAATGGAGTATCTGAAATAAAAGTATGTTTAAAATTTCCATAAACTATATACTGTACGTATGTTGCACTTACGTAGAACCATTCTCTTGTTTTTCCAAGCCATCATTAATCACTTCATCTGCAGGTTCTTCATTTACGGCTTTCTTCACGGGAGTCTTCTTCATTTTCTTCTTCTTGGGAACTGTTTTGGGTGCAACTTTCTTACCCATTCTGAAAGATTTTGACAACTTTAGAGCTACTGAAATACAGTAACGAATGAAAATAAATCAATAAATAAAACCCAAAGAAACAATTCAAGAAATCGAGGGTATACATAATAGTGCAGACTATACACTATATACTGCATTTACCTAGAATCACTCGCTGCTTTTTCCAAACTACCATCGACCACTGCATCTATAGGTTTTTCATTTGTGGCTTTCTTTGCTTGAGTCTTCTTCATTTTCTTCTTTTTGGAGACTGGTTTGGGTGGGACTTGCTTACTCATTCTGCATCAAAAGACATTCACAGTGAAAATTCTAAATATATAATAATTACATCTTAACAGAAACGATTGCAAATATTTGTCAGTAACAATAGTGTAATTTCATGAGTCTGAAATGATATAATGAACTCACTTGGTCACAGACACCATCCTGATAATTGTTTACAGTGCAGTCAATTCACGTTTTAGACTTCCCACTGAAAATAAAGAAAAAAAATACAATATCAATACAGTTCAATGAACATCCAAGTTGGTGATCAAATGAGCAAATAAAAATAAGTACCCATGCTGATATGATTAGCTTTTTAGCTCTGAATGCTCCCCTTCTTGAAATAAAACTCATAAGGTTCTATATTTTGCCTCAAATAGCATAATGATAATATGCTACACATTCAATATCATGACAGTTATTATCACAAAGAATCGTTAGTTATATACTTCTAAACTCATTACATAAAAGATGCAAAATCTTTCGTAAAGAAAAAGAAAAATATTATGGATACTGCTGATTATGAAAAAAAATTATACATAACAAACCTTTCAATATAAGGTTTATCAGTGAATACTTTGCATAAAAATATCTATATAAATCAAAATATTCTCACTACTTGGATGAGACATTGCCAACTACCTCTGATTTTCATTGCCATGAAAATATCAAGTGCTGGTCAATTAGTAATCTGAAAATGACTACCATCTGACAGTGAAAGACAATGATCAACAATAATTCTTGTTAACTAATCAACCCACTGATGACAGGATGATGTCCTATAACATCGTGGTTGACCATCCTTTACACACTGTCACAAGTGGGTTAATCCCTACGATCCTGATGACATGACCATTACGTAATGAAAAAATTTTGGCTTGAGGGGCAGGTGACCTGGACCAACCATGGGAATATCTAGCTATGGGCTAGGGTGATGCAAACTTGCCAATGTGAATATTTCAGTTTAAGGCCAGGGTAATGGGAAATGCTCGCTCGCTCGTGTGGCATGTAATGTCAGTGATCCATGACTGGAAGAGCACCAGCTCCAAGGAGGATGTTATTTCCATGTTCAAGATCCTATTCCTGGCCATCATGACTGGCAGCACAGATTTTCTTACAAAAAAATTATGAAAAAAATTTAAATTATATAAATAACACATCTGAATTATTGTTATCATTATTACACTGAAAGGGGAGGCATGGAGTCTTCTCACCACACAAGTGTAAATTTGCACCTGGCCCACAAGCCACACACCTGTCAGAGTGGCCACTGACACAAGCCTAATGCCCATATTTTAGGCCATGTGATGGTAGTGAAGTATCTAGATCCAGTGGGTTAATATATAACACATCAACATACAGCAATATGGATTCAATATCAATTAGACATAAAAAAAAAACAGTCAGCAAGGTAAACAAATTCTGTCTTTCTATAGTACAAATTTGTTTGAAATATGTTTGACATTAGAACACAAAGGTCAAAATTCTTAACAAAAAACAAAACAAAACAAAAAAAAAATTATAATTGCTGGGATGCATGGTATGATTTAGGGATGAGCACACTTTACAAAAGAAACTTGTTGGGCAAAGGTATGTTACAACTAGAAACAAAAATAAGTAGTATAACTTCTTAATAACATTTACATGACAGTCATATAAATGACATCAACTTTTCATATTCCAGTAATTTAGATTCTTATTATTTACACAGCTTTATTTACATGACATCATTTGCACTGCAAGGAAATAGCCTTAATAACATAAAATTTTCTAACAAGCCTGTTCATTCCTGGGTTCATTCCACTAATGATTTGTGACAGTACTTGTCAAATTGGTCAAGTTGATGTGTAACAACCCAGAATTACTCTCTTTGCCTGACTGCGCCTATACCAAGCTGTGCTCTCGCAACTTTACTTTAATCCATTCGCGACAGGTAAAATTGAACAAAAAATGGGGAAAATGCTGTACTCATTCTTCATATTTTTTTGTGAAATGTCTCTATACATAGATGGCTCTGCCTTACCTGATTTCACCTTTACTTAAATGGGCTGGAAAATGTATTTTTTACTAGTGCTATGAATATTGATGGTTATTTTTATTATACACATTATAATTACTATAATGTTATAAACATTAGTAACAGCAAAATAAGACAACGAAAAATATTTTCGTAAATTAAAGAAAAGGGTAAACAGGCAAGAAAGGCAGTAAGTGCAACAAGTAAGTGCAACTATGTGTTAAAACAATTAAACAAGTAAACTCACAGTGGGCATGTCATAGATACGTGACACCCATCGCAAATGGGTTATGTTGATTCATGCAAACCATAAGACAATGACTAGAAAAAATACAATGATCAGAAGAACCTCCCAAAGCAGAGCTGTATGCACGATAACACAGCCATCCTCACCCAAATACCTAGTACGTATTAATACCTGGTACGTACTAATATTGGTTTAGTCAGAACTTGGTAACAATACTGACGATACTAAACCTGAGAGCCCAGGACTGTATGAAATATTCTGGGCATAGCAGGATCAAATCTATGTGGTAGTTATACAACAATGCCAATGTTAAGGAGCTCTCCTTATTGGTGGGGGGTGGGGATTCCTTTCCTCTACCCCCTCACCTGGAATGCAAAACCTGCACCACACCTGACCAGCAAGATACAACCTGGAGAGGTCTCAGAGACATGCCTTGCGAGTTAAATCACACCCCAAGTGTGGCAGAGGCCTCATGAGGTGCCCATCTCTCACCATTCCGTTGGTTCCGTGGGTTTGTGCAAATTTTGGGATCTTTGATGTTCACATTGTGCTTATTTATTGTCTCTCCGACTATTACTGGTCAGGATCGGTACTAAAGTGCTATCGACTACACTACCACAAAATATGTTTCCATCACATATTACACTGAACTACTGTATATCTTACATACTACATAAACTGGCAAAGCGTAATATTACCCATACCACGATCTATCTCACGCCTAAATGTCCTTTTTTACTCCTGAAACCAGAATGTACCGCGAGCCACCCCGGCGTCGTCCTCCTCCACGTGCGGGCTGTGGGTGCGTAGTGGAGTGCCCGTGTCCGAATGTCTCTTCCACTTCCTGACTGCGGCCTCGGAAAGCGGTTGGATATGAACGTATAGTGAAACATTTGTCTCGTTTTGGATGAATTATTTTCTCTGTAGTATTCTTCGTATTTTTCAGGTTCCTTTTCCATTATCCATATTTACCTATTCCTCAAATGGAATATTCTAGATGTGTATATTCGGTTACTTGCTGTCAATGTCAAGGCTAGAGTCACAGAAATCGAACAAGTGTGACGTCACACAAAAACAAACCCACATGGAGGACGTAAATTTCTTCGTAAAATTCACTGAAATTCGATAATTAAACGTAAGTTACCACCAAGAAGCCTTTTGTATATGCTTTAACACTTGATTCTGCACCCCTCTTATCAAAACGAGAAGGGAGTGCCGAAATGAATAAGATTTTAACATTTTATTTAGAGATTTTTCAGCTCGAACTTCGAGGCAAGTCCGTGTTTCTATAGTATTAATATACAGACATGCGGCAGTGTCCTATGCCAAGTCTGTCCTTGCTATTTCTTGCCGTGAATGCATGGAGATTAGGAGTGGCATCCCCCCAGGAGGGGATTGCGAGGGGCACAGTCCCCTGCACTAGACAATAAAGTGACTGAGGGGTTCCACATCATAATTTCAGTATGTTTAGATATTAGAAAGTGAGAGGAATCCATGGATACCAAAATCATCACAATCAGTTATGTGACACTGTTCCAGAAAATTACAGAATTTGTTTTAGAATTTGTTGATCTCTTTACTGATTGACCTACAGAGGCCTCCAAAATGTAAATTGGTTATTACCTATCCAGTCAATATTGATTTTGTGCAATCTTGTGTATGAATTTAGTACTTGCGTAGTACTTTATGTAAGCAAAAAATCAAATACAAGTAGTAGAGAATTAGAAACACATAATATATTGATATTTTCAATTACTATCATTTAAGCATGGTCACTGTTATCAGAAAATAGTTGCCAAAAATGTGTTTGAAGTTATTCAGAAGTAGCCTTGCAAGATATAAGATACACAATATAAAGCATTACACACTATACTTCTATAAACTGTTATTTCTCTAAGCTATTACCTCTTTTATACTTTCAGGTAATTTATTATAACAAATATTATAAAACTGATGAAATACAACAAGTGAAGTTTATTAAATCGAAAAGAGGAAAATATCAGCATGATGGTTGTGTCCAGGTAAGTTTTTCAAGCAAAAGTTATAGGAAATATAAAAGATGAAATATGTAGACATGATGGATTTACAGTAAGTCCTTTCCCTTTCTAATGATGCTTTTTCTTTCAGTGATTCAGACAAGCCTCAGCATGACAGCATGGGTAATGCATCAAAGGAGGAAAAAAAGACAAGTAAGAAAGTGCCTTCTTCAAAAAAACAGCAAATGAACAAGGGACTCTATATGAAAAAGTTGAAAAAGATGCTAGAAGCAGACGGAGCAACAGTTAATCCAGAAGCAAATAGTGAGAGGTATGTGTGTTTGTATTAATTTGTATATAATAGATAGATATGTAAATTAATAGATGGTTGAAACTACTTAATTTTGTGTTTGCTGGGAAAAATCTTGCTAGACTTGTAATGTAGACTTGCACCATGGGCTCATTCCCAAGTAAGCCACAGACATTTATCTACCTACACAATTGGTATTTTTATTAAAATGTCATATAAAAATGCTGTGAAAATAGCATTTTGAAAATGAATTTTTAAAGAAATAAATTCAATTCAAGGAAAGGTGAAATTAGGCAAGGTCACAAGGACTCCTTTTGTCTAAGCACTAGCAGAGCCATCTGTGGAGAGACATTTCACAAACAAATAAAAAATGAGCTCAGTATTTTCCCCATTTTTTTTATCCAATTTCTCCAGCTGCTTGTGTTTAACTTGTTAACATAAGATTTATATGAAATTATTAGTGCATAGTTTTCTTATTCATTTCAATGAGTTTACATTATCCTTTTAATTCATACATATACTTTATATTACAATATATGCCTGGACTCGTGTGTGTGTGTGTGTGTGTGTGTGTGTGTGTGTGTGTGTGTGTGTGTGTGTGTGTGTGTGTGTGTGTGTGTGTGTGTGTGTGTGTGTGTGTGTGTGTGTATGTATGTATGTGTGTGTGTGTGTGTGTGTGTGTGTGTGTGTGTGTGTGTGTGTGTGTGTGTGTGTGTGTACATACATACATACATACATACATACATATTTTGTGTGTGTGTGTGTTTTATAAAACTAAATATTTTTCCATTTTTATTACACATTTGATATAGTCACTGGAGGAGAGATACACCTACTCATTAAATAAAATATATAAAAAAGTATATAAAGTGCATTAGCTAGTAGTAATAATTAAATGGTTATTGAAAAAATTATATTATATGGCTCCATGTAGTATATATCCATGTGAAATATAGCTAATACAAATGACAGATTAATTTTGTAATCTGTTTCTTCACCCAACTTTCATCTTCTCATTTCAGTTATTAAAAACTTCAATATACTTGTTGGATATTGATCTTGAGATACTGCCAGTCTGGTTCTTACATTGTTTAGTATGATATGATAAAGAAATATTACTTTGCTAACCTGAAAAATATAATTAGTTATTTCTTTCTATTGTTTTTGATATGGTTACAATTTTTGTGTTATTATATCTGTTACTTTACTGTGTTCCCATGTGATATGTAATACATGTTGGTATGTAATGTTTTCCTTTTCAGTAAGGCCAGAAACAATAAAAGTCCATCATTTGGAAAAGAAAGGAATAAAAAAATCCAGCAAACATTAGAGGCAAATAAAGGAATTGGTAATAAGAAGTAAGTATAACTTTGATTTTACAATATATCCTAGTAGATAATTATTCAGATCCCTGTCTCTTGCAGTAGGATAATTTACAGTAAAGTATAAGTAATAAATATTGCTTGCCTTACCTAAAAAAGATAAGTTTTATTTATTTCCAAGTGTTTTTGCATTGTTACAGTATTTGTTTTTGGTTTTACTATTATTACCATTGCTTGTAAGAAATAACCTGTAACACTGATTTCTTTGAGATTCATGCATATACAGTATATTACAATATATGCCTGAACTCGTGTGTGTGTGTGTGTGTGTGTGTGTGTGTGTGTGTGTGTGTGTGTGTGTGTGTGTGTGTGTGTGTGTGTGTGTGTGTGTGTGTGTGTGTGTGTGTATATATATATACATATATACATGTATGCATATATACATACATACATACATACATACATACATACATACATATATACATATATACATACATATATACATATATACATATATGCATACATATATACATACATATATACATATATACATATATACATATATACATACATATATACATACATATATACATACATATATACATATATACATACATATATACATACATATATACATATATATCTATATCTATATCTATATCTGTATCTATCTATCTATCTATCTATCTATCTATCTATATACATATATATATATATATATATATATATATATATATATATATATATATATATATATTATATTATATATATATACATATATATTTATATTATATATATATACATATATATTTATATTATATATATATACATATATATTTATATTATATATATACATATATATTTATATTATATATATATACATATATATATATTATATATATATATATATATACATATATACAGGCTGCGAAAAATCCCACGTCCGCACGTCTTTGATGAGTGTAAACTTGTGGAGGACAAGTAAAATGTTTACCTCACTGGTATTCAGAAGAGGACGAGTGGAAAGTCAGGTGTACTTGTCCTCCTGGACAAGTGAAAAAAAAAAAAAAAAAAAAAAAAAATTGCAGCCTGATATATATATTATATATATATATATATATATATATATATATATATATATATATATATATATATATATATATATATATATATATATATATATATACATATGTATTATATATATATACATATATATATATTATATATATATATACATTTATATATACATATATATATACATATATATATACATATATATACTTATATATATATATATATATATATATATATATATATTTATATACATATATATATAAACATATATATAGATTATATATATATACATATATATATACATAAATATACCAGTACATATATATACATAAATATACCGGTACATATATATACATAAATATACCGGTATATATATATACATATATATATATACATATATATATACATATGTATACATATATGTATGTATATAATTTACATTTTGTATAGTCACAATAGGAGAGATACACATATCTGCTTATTAAAAAAATATAGAAAGTATATGAAGTGCCATAGCCAATGATAATATCTTGTAATATCTTTACTATGTGTAATAGACTACAAATCAGTATGTAATGCTTTCTCTTTCAGCAAAAGGGAAAAACCATGGGGAAAAGATTCAACCAAAGCAGAAAACAGAAAAAGGACAAATGAGAACCAAACAGTGGAAAATGAAAATGAAGGGAGCAAGAAATTTAAGCCAATGGTAGAGACAGTTAAAAGAAGTAGTAAAAGGTATGTAGACTTTAAAAAAAGGATCATTTGCATTGAAATATAAGAGAGAGATTTGGTTGAGGTTTCTATGCATAGTTTTCCCTAGTAATTTCAACATAGCAATTTTTAAATGTTAATATTCCATATCGTGGCTCATTTTTGGAGTGCATTTAAGTCTAATGTCCTGTCTTTGTTTTCAGCTGGAAAAAGAGGGTCGTTGAAGGAGAAGAAACACATGTAAAGCCACACAAAATACAAAGTGAGAAAGAGGAATCACAGTTAAAAGGAGATTCTGTGTTTGTTGGTAACATAGATTTGAAAGCAAAACGCAAAGGCATACAGAAATTTTTTCAGACATATGGTGAGGTAAGATCAAACTGTGGCTCTTTTCACATTGACTTATGTTGTATCATATTTGTTGTTTGAATATGCATGTTTACCAGGATCAGTTAACCCAATGCCCACTGTAAGTTTACTTGTTTAATTGTTTTTAAACGTAGATGGCTACACTTTTACTAAGTCCCCAATGAGCCAGTTACGAGTGCTGCCTATCTCGCCCATTTACCCTTTTCTTTGATTTACAAAAATATTTTATGTTTTGCTATTACTAATGTTTATAACATTATAGTAATAATAATGTTAATAATAAAAATGACACCATAAATGTTCATAGCACTAGTAAAACATACATTTTTCCCACCAATTCAAGGAAAGGTTAAATCAGGTTAAGTCACAAGGTCTACTAATTGACTCCTTTTTGGACTATGCACTAGCAGAACCATCTATGTACAGAGACATTTCATAAGAATATAAAAGAAAGAGCACAGCATTTTCCCCATTTTTTATTCAGTGGCAATGTGTTAATCTTCTTTTAGTTCTTACAGTTGTGTAAAACCTAGAGTTGGCTAAAATATTATAAGATTAAGAAATTATCTCTTTTCATGCCTTATGTAAGTCAACAGAGGAAGCTTGAAATCATAAAAATGCATCCATGTATCCCACTTGAAATTGTAGGATACCATTAGAAGGTGATAAATGCAAGCAGTTGCTTTACTAGATATATTACATAGTCGACCAAGCACTTGTATTCACTTTCTTTTTTATCAAAATCTATTTTAGGTTGAAGGTGTGCGTATTTGCAGTCTTGATCAGGCACACCCACAGGACAGAAAGAACATAGCATCTTTTAAGTGAGTAACCCTATTAGTTTTGTTCTTGAGAGATCTTGTCATCTTCCAGTAAGTTGGCATCATTGAATCCTTTCTGTATAGTGTATGTAGTAATGCTCTGTATGTGTGTGTGTGTGTGTGTGTGTGTGTGTCTGTGTGTGTGTCTGTGTGTGTCTGTGTTTCATTTATATGTTGATTTTCACATGCATTTACTTGTTTATTTCTAGTAACCTAAGACAGACATCATACTCTTTATATATTTTCAGTGTTGTTTCATTTATTTTGAGCTGTGTATGATGTCTTAGAGCATATGTTAAAGTTACCTCTTATTTTCATTCATATTTCTACATATACACAAATGTAAATGCGTCACATGTTATGCATCAAATAAAAGAAACTCCAAATCTCCAACAGGAAGAGTTTGAAGTTCCAGCAGGCTTCCCAGTGTGCCTATGTGAGGTTTAAGAGTGCAGAATCAGCAACAGCCGCATTGGAGGCCAACAATAAGATATTTCGGGGATACAGCATCGTAGTTTTTAGCTCTTGTGGAAATCGTAGTGTCAGTGGCAGAGCCTCGGTATTTGTGGGCAATGTTCCAGTTGGTGAGGAGTTTGAAAATCTTTTTTAGTATATTTCCTCTTTATTTATCTATTGTATTGTCTTATAACTTCATTTGAGATCTGAATTATAAGTAGGGATTTATGCAAATTAAGTCTGTACTACTATTAAAACTATGATTTGTTGTTCTCATTCTCTGTTAAAAGTAATATATCAGAAGCAGAAAATTATTCTGTATATCACTTTTACCAGTTTATATATGTTCTTTTCTCTTCTGAAAGACACCAATGAAGACGAGCTCGGGAAGATATTCCAAGAGTGTGGTGAGATTGAAAGTGTGCGAATATTTCGAGAAAGCAACTCTGACACTGAGAGAGCAATTGCCTATATTAACTTTGAGGTGAGCATCAATATCCACACTTAGTCTTTTCTTCTCCTTTATTATTGTTATTATTCTCTTCTCTTCTGCATAATTTTTGTTGGTTTCGTAATTTTGTTTCACCCTCTGTCTTTACATCTCCATTTCTTCTCCTCTCTCCTAGTTCCCCTTTAATGATAGTACAAAACATAGTAAGAAATATAATACTGTATATGATGATAAATATTACCTTTTTTCTTTCAGACTCCAAAGGCCATTCCACAGGCTATCAAGAAGAACAACACAATGCTTAGGGGTCAGGGCTTAAGAGTACAACGTTATTCATTACGGGTATGGAAAAAAGAAGAAATTTTGTGCACAAAAAGAAATAACTAATGTAAAAAAAAAAAATGAATATACAGAGAATTAAACATCAAAAGATGTGAATATATATATGCATCTCTCTCCCTCTCCCCCTCTCTTCCTCCCTCCCTTCCTTCCTTTCCTCCCTCCTTCCCTCCATCTCTTCCTCCCTCTCTACCTCCCTCTCTCTCCTTCCCCCATTCTCTCTCCCTCCCTGTCGCTCTTTCTCTCTTTCCCCCTCCCCCTCTCTCTCCCTCCATCTCCATCTGTCTCCTTCCTTCCCCCCTCCCTCTCTATCTCTCCCACCCTCTCTCTCCCTCTCTCCCTCCCTCCCTCCCTCCCTCCCTCCCTCCCTCCCTCCCCCTCTCTCCCTCCCTCCCCCTTTATCTCTCCCTCTCTCTCCTTCCTTCTCCATCTCTCTCCCTCCCTCCCCCTCTGATTCCTTCCCTTCCTCCCTCCCCCCATCTCTCTCTCTCTCCCTCTCCCTCTCCCTCTTTCACCCCCTCCCCCTCCCCCTCCCTCTCCCTCTCCCTCTCCCCTCCCACTCCCTCTCCCTCTCTCCTTCCCTCCCTCTCTCCTTCCCTCCCTCTCTCCCTCTCTCCTTCCCTCCCTCTCTCCCTCTCTCCCTCTCTCTCTCTCTCCCTCTCTCCCTCTCTCCTTCCCTCCCTCTCTCCCTCTCTCCTTCCCTCCCTCTCTCCCTCTCTCCTTCCCTCCCTCTCTCCCTCTCTCCTTCCCTCCTTCCCTCCCTCTCTCCCTCTCTCCTTCCCTCCCTCTCTCCTTCCCTCCCTCTCTCCCTCTCTCCTTCTCTCCTTCCCTCTCTCCTTCCCTCCCTCTCTCCTTCCCTCCCTCCCTCCCTCTCTCCTTCCCTCCCTCTTTCCCTCTCTCCTTCCCTCCCTCTCTCCCTCTCTCCTTCCCTCCCTCTCTCCCTCTCTCCTTCCCACCCTCTCTCCCTCTCTCCTTCCCTCACTCTCTCCTTCTCTCCTTCCCTCCCTCTCTCCCTCTCTCCTTCCCACCCTCTCTCCCTCTCTCCTTCCCACCCTCTCTCCCTCTCTCCTTCCCACCCTCTCTCCCTCTCTCCTTCCCACCCTCTCTCCCTCTCTCCTTCCCACCCTCTCTCCCTCTCTCCTTCCCACCCTCTCTCCCTCTCTCCTTCCCACCCTCTCTCCCTCTCTCCTTCCCTCACTCTCTCCTTCTCTCCTTCCCTCCCTCTCTCCCTCTCTCCTTCCCTCCCTCTCTCCCTCTCTCCTTCCCTCCCTCTCTCCCTCTCTCCCTCTCTCCTTCCCACCCTCTCTCCCTCTCTCCTTCCCTCACTCTCTCCTTCTCTCCTTCCTTCCCTCTCTCCCTCTCTCCTTCCCTCCCTCTCTCCCTCTCTCCTTCCCTCCCTCTCTCCCTCTCTCCCTCTCTCCTTCCCACCCTCTCTCCCTCTCTCCTTCCCACCCTCTCTCCCTCTCTCCTTCCCACCCTCTCTCCCTCTCTCCTTCTCTCCTTCCCTCCTTCTCTCCTTCTCTCCTTCACTCCCTCTCTCCCTCTCTCCTTCCCTCCCTCTCTCCCTCTCTCCCTCTCTCCTTCCCTCCCTCTCTCCCTCTCTCCTTCCCTCCCTCTCTCCCTCTCTCCCTCTCTCCTCTCTCCTCTCTCCTCTCTCCTCTCTCCTCTCTCTCTCTCTCCTCTCTCTCCTCTCTCTCCTCTCTCTCCTCTCTCTCCTCTCTCTCTCTCTCTCTCTCTCTCTCTCTCTCTCTCTCTCTCCCTCTCTCTCTCTCTCTCCCTCTCTCCCTCCCCTCCCCCCAGACTTTTTTGTTAACACATAATTCTTGAAAATTTTCAGGTTCAGATGGAAAAAAATCGTAAAAAGATAAGTGCCAATAAACAGAAGAGAGAAGAAAGGGCTTCAGTGACAAAACCCCGAACAAACAGGAAGAATTTGGCTGGCAGAGAGCACAGGCAGAGGGAAGACTGGCAGCCATCTAATTATGGGAACAGACCCTTCAAAGGAGGGAAGTTCAGGACAATGGTGAGAATTTTATTATTGTTTTGATTGATGGATTTCATTTTTTAGTTGTTAGTTATGTGGTTCTTTATTGCTAAGAAGACTAAATTGTTCTGTGAGAAGACAGGACTCATCATTCAAATTCATTCTGAAAAATAATGTTTATTTGTTATATTGGTATATTGTCCCATATTCATCATGTTCATTAAACATCTTTACACACTATTTATCATTTTGGACATGCACCACTCACTTGATGGTGATAGAAATACCTGCAAAATAATGTTTTATTTTTTGTTTATTTTTATTTTTATTTCCATTTTTTCAGGGAGGAGACAGAAAGAATTTTGAGGATGACACGCAGATGCTGACAGATGTAAAACCAAGAAAGCATATCAGATTTGATGAAGAGAATAACACATCAAGAGGCAACATGAGACCACAGTCAGTAGATTTTCAACCCATGTCACATGTAACAAATATGGAGAAACCAAAGCTTCATTTAAAATTTGATGATTAATGATACATTTATGTATAGTACTTGTAGAAGTGGTAAAAGAAATATATAAAGATAAGCATGTGATTATAAAGAGGAAGAAGAAAACAATGAAAGTTTAAATTTGTTATACCAATGATAAATACATCATCGTTTACAATTTACATGTATATTCTTTCTTGTTATTACATGAAGGCAAGGTTTAGTAAATAATAAATAATTATTTTTATATCTGATTTCTTTTTTCTTCCCAACTTAGAAAAACAAGTAAATAAAAGTAGTCATGGAAATCAAAACTTTAACAAATATACAAAAATGAATTATATACAGTACATGAAAAATTCATAATTTTTAGTTTAATCTGGCTATGCCTTATTAACCTCTTGAATCTGGGTGATACGACCATCACGTCATGAAAAAAATTTGGTTGAGGGCTCAGTGACATATACTGCCATGGAAATTTTAGACTGAAGATTGGGGTGCACATTTAGGAAGGGGCTCTAGCATTATTTCCATCGGGAGAGTGACGGCTCCTAGGAGGACACTATTTTCATCCTCAGGATCCTATTGCTGCCCACTGTGCAGGATGTATTACAGAAAATTGAATATTACAAAAAAAAAATGTTACTTAATATTACTGCACAGAGTGGCACAGGATGTATTAAGGAAAAAAAAATTATGTTAAAGAGAAAAGAAAAGAGATAATAATTGCAAAGGGGAGGCAGGGAGTCTTGATCCTACACACAAGTGTTTGTAAGGGCATGGCCTATCAAGTTGCCAATCAAGTAAGCCTAATACCTGGATTTTGGGCCATGTGCAGGCAGCGAGTCACTTGGATCCAACAGGCTTATTGAAAACACTCAGGAAAAAGAAGATTGATTTTTTTGTTTGAAATGGAATCCCTTCTCTTATGAAAAAAAGTTTGGGAAATCTGCATATTCATTAGGCCATTTTGCATTTGGCTGATATTCTGTAGACAGTCCAGAGTTACAGAGTTACATAAAGAAATGGAAGAAAAACATGGCAAATAAAAATGTACAATTATAGAAGGTAAATCAAAATGAACCAATATAGTTGTGACAGCAACCTTCCTAAGGATTGATCTGTGAGTTGCCAATAATAATTATGTGTAAAGAATACAGTATACCAAGGGAAACTGATTGACTTTAAGTTTTACCCCCCCCCCCCAAGTATCTTTACTCATTCTGACTTAACAATATGATACGACAACAAAAACAGAAAAAGGGCAGTGAGTTCAACCTAATATAGGTATCCCTGACATGGGGGGGCAGGGGTTTCCTCTTTGACTGTTTGCCCCCCACACAATTTTTTTACTTTCTTGCTAATTAAATGTATATAGATCCAGCTATAGCTTAAAAATCTCCCTAGACTAGTACATTTTTAAAAATTTTACTCTCTAATATTTCGTGTTATTGCCAATAGCTTGGCAAATGCCACTAACACCGCTGTTAACTGGCATCCATCTGCAAAGTACAATCACTCCCATTGCTTGGGCAACAATGATATGATGATTGTGTGTATGATCTTCAGGGAAGCCTTTGTCCATGGCTGGCCAAACATTTTCAACAGAATTGAGATCTGGCAATTTGGTTGATTGTGGCACAGCATAATTTGTTATCCTAGACAAGGTAAAATGGCTCTGGCTCAAGGAACACCAATGGTGGAAATATCTCAGGATTTCTACATAGACATACCCCATAAATCTGTAGGGCCCAACATCAGTCAACTCCCCGAACCCATTGCTGTCCACTCAAACAGCCCAGCAGTCTGCGTACTGCAGCATAATATGAGGTCCCACCAGATGCTGCCAGCAGAACAAAATTGTTTTCATTAGTTTCATTAGTCTATAGTTTTGAATGACATTTACAAGAACTTCCATCTACATCGTACATCTAGAATGCCCACTTCTGACCTTGTCTCTGGTAGAATCAGCTGCTTGGGGTTTCTTGATCCACAGGGACATGGCTGGCTTCGAAATACCAAATCTTGATATTTCTTGCTATCTGTGGCCAGTGGACCAGAAGATATGGTGGTAAAATATCTATTGTCATTATTTAGCTTACAAAAAACAAGATCTAGACTATAATAAAATATGTATATATACTAGTATATACTATATATACTAGGCTCAAAATAAAAAATGCTTGACCACTTAGGGGATGCTGAAATTTGGAATTTGTTACTCAGAGCAACACACCCTTCAGAGACAAAACCAGGGTAGCATGTGAACCCAAAATCCAAACCTAACCTTTCCTTCTATTTATTCTCCCTGTACCCCCCCCCCTATTATTATTCATACTAACTAATAGAAATAGATATAAAAATCTGTGGTCTTGGTCTCTTAGCAGTGATATACAGTGGATATGTTTGTCATTTTGTGATGAATATGAGCCATAGCTGCTATACCTGTGTTGTTTATCAGTGTTTTTTTTATACTCTATAAGATAGCATTGCCCATTTCCCTCTATCTCTGTACATCACACTTGGTAACATTAACCCTGAAATTCATTCAGAACCTACAAGTGCAGAATTGCAGTAGGGTTAGTTTTTGTGTGAGTGAGTTACACCTTATTCTTTTAACTATGTGAAGTAGGTGCTCTCATGTATGTACTGTATGCATTTTACATTATTCAGTAGCAAGAAGTAGGTTATGCACATAAATTTGTGTAATGTTCATCTTCAAAAATGTTACTGAAAACTAAACAATGCAATTGGGATGGATTGCTAAACAGAATGTGGTAAATGTTTATATTCTAGATCTTAAATTGTTGTTATTTATTATGATGCAGTTGCATCATATCATTTACATTTCTTTTTTCTTGTTTTCAAGTTATATCAAGGTTATTTGTATAATATACATAAATATATATTTCACTTGCATTTATTAATCAGTCTTTATTGATGACTGCTGCTATAAGGGAGGTGCAAATTCATAAACTATTGTTAGCAATGAAATACATATTTAGCATGTCAAACAAACCTTCCAGGTTTCTAAGCAATGTCCCAGACTTTTGTGCCTATTTATGCCCATTTTCATTTGAATAACTGAGGATAACTTTTTTTGGAGAATGTACTTGTTATTACAAATGTATTATTCACTATATTTGCACATCAGATATGTGCCCTCTCAAACTGATCATTGCATAGCTAATCTTAGGACAGCAAAACAAAAACATAATATTAAGGTCTTTATTTTTCAATAAATGTCCACTATAAATGCAATGTATTTACAGCTAAAGCCTTCCTTGTACTAATCCTGTTGTGAAGTATGAAAATAAGCAGTTCAAGCTTATACCACAAGCTAAAAAGAATTCACCTAATGCAGACAGGTAGATAAGAACTTAACTCCACTAGATTATAGTACATTAATAAGTCTTTATGTGTGAACAGTAAAATGTACAATAAAAGTAATGCATATATGCAATCAAAAATACAAATCTAATTTTTCACTCTATAGCTTTCACAACTGACATTTCTTGATATCTGAACAGTCATTCACATTCACACAACCTAGACAAGCACTGGACAAAAGATATTCATTTTACAGAGTTCAGATCTAAATCCAATTCAGATGTAAAGAATACTCCCTTTCACTGGCATTACTTACTTCATGTTAGGGAATGTTAACAGGAATGCTTTATATCTTATAATAGCAGAAAAATATAAGAAATGTACATTTCTGAAACTTTCAACACTTACAAAACTTTGGATGGCATGTCTAACACTATTACATTAAAAAAGGTACAGTATGTAACAACTTCCTGTGGACGGAATATACATTCATGTGATTTCACACATTTGAGCTAAAAAAAACAAAAAATGTTCTGAAAATCATCTTTCAGCTTCAAAAGAAAAAGAAAAAGAAATCTGTTATACTTGATAAATTCTGAATAACATTTTCCAAAGTTGAAAAAAATACCACACTGTAAATAACTTACAGTAACCAAACCTGTGAATTTGTACATCATTACAAATATTCAATTTACCCCAAAACATGGGATACCCGAGTTTCTCGACAGAATGTTTCACCTAAAGTAAATTACAATATGATTATCCCTTGACTTCTCAGCATGGAATACATTCAAGAAGGCAAGTGTTTGTGACACAACAGTCTTTGGACGGAATTTCTGCAACTCTTGTGTTTGCGACACAAAGACTTCTGGATGGAACTTTTGCAAAGTTCTAGTTACTCAAGTTAAAACTTGTGAAAGTTAACAAAGCATATACTGATCACAACAAAATAACTAAGTAATTTTGATTACTCAGGAAATTCAACAGTTTTTACTTTGCAATGATTCAATAACATGTGCATTTGGCACTTATCAACTGCACTTTGAAATACAATAGCACACATAATCCTTTAAAAATGTTGATGAAGAGCATAGTAAGATCTCCTTTCATTTTTTTTCCAATCTAAGTACATTTCATTAAGAATATACATCCTATATTTTAACAATACAAAAATGCATTTGACAATACAATTGAGAAAATCTGAACAAAATTAATGAATCAATATTAACAAAATACTTTCCAAGATATCTGTTAGGAAAATAAAAGGTAATCCCTAAGGATCTCTCTTTAAAGTACTCAAATCACGCTGCTCATTTCCATAGCCAAAAAGTTACTTTGTTTAAACTTTACATATAGGCATAAAAACAAAAGATTATAAAATATCCTATCTTTATCATATCTTGCTATGAAAACAATTGCTGTAATACACTTCAACTCCAATAGAATTATAATACCCCAAATCTGAAGTTACTGATGATTCAAACATATTTTAAGCATGTCCAAATTTCATGGAAGGACATTACTCTCTCTCACAGAACAAGTTTATCTAACATATTGGTATGCTTGTATAAAAATAATTATACTTACTTCATAGTATGCACATATACTTCTGTGAATAGTCACTTATATATATCCTCCTAGTAATATTGACTTGATTTCAATCAATACAGTCTATAAAAAGAAAATTTGGATACATTTCAATTCTGTAATTGAAAAAACAATAATAAAAAATATACATAAAAATAAAATCTGACAAAAAAGTTGACAACCCTCAACAAAAAATTAGTGTCTGCGGGCTATAATTGTAAAGAGAATAAGAGCTACAACAGTAACGAAGCTGCTCTGGATCCCTGATGCACCAGCAACACGACACTTCAGGAAATCGTACCTGAAATGGAGAAATGGAGAACAATAAATTTCACAAGAAAAAACATTCACCGTATATTTCTTTGACTCCCCAAATAGTACATATCTGATTTATAGTTGTATACATAGAAAAAAGTAAATAAGGAAGACAGTGATAAAAAAAAGCAGAAGAAAGTGATGAATAGTAAACTCTGCATGATAATGTGAAGTATCTAACATTATTTTGGATCATAAATAAGCTCTAGGCTATAGTCTGCAAAATTATCAACAGTGATGTCACAGGCTACTGAATATATCATATGCCAGAGTACACTGAAAATGTCTTTAAAACTTTACTAAACACCAATTCTGACAACCTTGCTGGAACCCCCCTCCCTCCAACAATACCAAAATTCTAACACAATTTTAATTATCTCCCAAAATATTACACAACATAAACCCACTCACCTTGTTTTCTTGTCACGAATGATGTTCAAGTATTCTGCCTCTACCAACTGTCCATCAAAGTACGTAATGGGATCTTCAAATGGATATTCAAAGCCCTGGATGCACTCACACTTATATCCACCTGTATCAAATCCTCGGCCTTGGATTGGAACGCACTGCAAGAGGTTAATTAGGCATGACTTTTAGTACATAGCAAACTATACAGGTCCAGTCAAGAAAGAATGCAGAAAGTAAGCAAAGAAGAAAAATTCAAAGGATAAAATAAAAACAGTCTAATCATAAGGTAAACCTGATTGATCAACCAACCAAGGAGATATTATACTGAATAGTTCACCATACATCTCTAAATCATCTTAGTAATGATAACACATGGAAATTAAGCATAATAACTTACATAAGATGACTTCCTGTCACAGCGGTGAGTATCCTTAAAGGCATTTTGGACGTAAAACTCATCGGGACATTGGGTGATGTCTAGTTTCATGAGATCCATAGTAACTCTGACAGCACCCCTGAGCAAATAATATAAAATCAGAAGTACATCCTCACATATTACAAAACATCATTTATCTTTCAAGCAATTTAAATAAAATTAATAGAAATAAAGAAAATCCAAAAATAACACTTACTTAAATTCAAGCTTTGACCGCAAAGTATCCCATCCAAAGAATGGAGCTGTGTAGTGAACAACCCACTTCTTGACAAAACCTTCACAGTCAAACTCTGGAGTACTCCACTGGCCATGTTGAAGTTCAGCTGCCCTATTGAACAATGAAAATCAAAATGAATGTAAGACTGAAATATAAGTAAAATAAACTTCAATACATGAACTTAATAAATAAATAAATAAATAATGGTGTAAATAAACTAATAATAATAATACCAATAATAATAATCATAATCATAATAATAGCAATGATGATGATGATGATAACAATAACAATAATAACAACATGCAAGGGAGTCTTCACCTACCCTTAACTCAACTGCACCTCACTCAGCTAGATTTTTCTACCCTACACACGTTTTACTTTTAAAATCAATTAATCAATATATAGATATATATCAATATGTATTTATATAACTATTCATTTATCTTTTTTTCAGCCATGGGGAGAATGGTACAGACAACTGCATGCAGCACACACGTGCACGCTCACACAAACCCACACCTACATCCACAAAACAATCTATGACATTTCAAAATAATGGTAATATCAAATTATTATCCATAAGCAATATCTTAGAATAAAAGAAATGAAAGAATATGAATACAAATAAAAATATGAACATTAATAGGAACATAATGAAGTAAACGATTGATAAGAATATTGCATTTATCAACAAATCAGTGATATAGGAGAGGAATACATACAGTAAATACTAATCCCTCCATAGTGAGGTAGAGGATACAATACATCCCTCACAGATGCAAACCTTTAGAATCTTCCTAAGCAAGGATATGCCAGATAGTGTTCAAGTAACTGCAATCACCTTCTGGTAACTTCTCCCCCATAAAGAAGCCCCAATACATAACAGTAATGATTAAAGGACTAACTGCTCATATCCTCTTCTTAAAGGCATATTAAAGTGTCTGAATTACAGTTAATATGTACATGCTGTTTGGAGATTTCCACACAAAGTTGAAACATTTAAATTACCACCTGTTATTGCACAAAGAAAAACTTTGCTTTTGCTTTTGCTTTCGTTTATTAATGTAAGTCCTACTAATATCCCTGATTTGAGGAATTTCTACAAGTTATAATAAAATGTCACTTACTTGTAGAAAGTTGGGTATCTTTCATATTTAATGGAGTGCATCCCAGTAGAGTTATGCCTCAGCTTCAATTTGATCCAGTATTTCTCTAGGTCATCAAAATTAGTTGACCATCTACTTTTCAATTTCCTGGGAAAATAATAAATATATTGAGTGCATACAACAAAAATTAATTATATGTTGTAGATTATGAAATTATATATTGTAGTTCAATCATTTTTTCCTCTGTTTACCTGAACCAGGGTTTATTGGTGTAAGCTTCCCTGGAGGAGTTCAGACGAGCCAAATCTTCCATTCCAAACTTTCTTGTATTTAATTCTGTCTTGTAAGCCAAGGGGGCAAACAGGGTGCGGTTTGTGAACTTACTGCGGTCCCAGTACATTCCCGATGCCCAAACCTGTTTTTGTACACAAGAATAATTAGAATAATTACAAAGCTCTGTTAACATTTTTTCAAAACAAATATCAAAGTAATATCTTCCCATCCTAAAAAAATAAAAATTAAATTAATAAATAAAAACATTGCATAATCAAGGCTAACTGAGAGAATAACCCAATGCAAACTAAAGTTCTGCTTTAGAGCTCTGATGCTAATATGAAGCTCTATCATTAGTTTGTGGCAAAACTTTCCACCAAAGGATTCAGCAAAATCAATATAGTAAAAAGGCCACAAACTGTGATTGGACTGAGATATCAACAGCATGGCATATGTTTCCCCAGCAGGTTGGTAATTTTTGGGATAACATATATATCACTTGAAGGCAAAGAGTTAACATCTTCCTCATTCTCTTACATCAAGGTCAAGTATTCCAATATACCAACACAAAGCCAAATTTGCTAATTCCTTACCCTACTGTTTCCAAGAATAATAGACAAGACTTCTCCCATCATCTGGTCCTCAGACAAAGGCTGGTCCACAACACGAACACCAGAGAAGATCTCCTTATGGTCAACTATCTTTAACGGGAAGAAATACAAACATCAAATATTTTAAAAACAGGAAATACAACAGTAAATAAAGAAATATAATTATTAATATGAAAATGATAGCTTTTTAGGTGATATTGCAAAAGAGCTACAAAAGAAAATGGAAAGAAAGTGCTAAGTACTGAAAATATGATTGAAAATAAATAAGATGACAAAAATTAAGAAAAGTTTTCAGAAATTAAACAGAAACAGGAGAAAAAAAAAAGAGAGAGAGAGAGAACCAAGAATAAAAGAGGAAGACAGTAAGGCCCATAGCATGTTTCTCACCTGCATGAAAGCGCTGAGGAAGTTGGCGAGACGCAGCGCCATCCTGGCCTCATTCTCGAACTGCTTTTCCATTCCGAACCCAATGTCACCCCTGAGCAGCAAGTCATCTGGGTGGAATGTCTTGCAGTTTTCAGCAGTGACTGACTTGAGAAACTCTATCACCTCATCGACATTCATGGTGCTGGCCCTCGCCGCGTTGGCCCCCGTAACATTGTAGTAATCCCGGGAAAGGTACTTCTGCCTCTCGAACTCTTCCATTCTGTTGTAGTCGAAGGGCAATTTTTGGATCCCTGGAGAATGAATCATAGTGTAAGTACAATAGAACTGAAACACAAGTTTACAAATTAACCCACTGATGCCAGGAAGGTATATACATATACACGACAATGTCCACAATGATTCTATTTTAATTTTCTTTTAATTTTCTATATGATTAATTTTTATCCTTTATTTATATCAATATTGTTAAAAATATAATTATTATTATAATCTCAATAATAACATTATCCAGACAGAGCATTTGAAAAAATCCCCAAAATAATAATTATCAACATGAACAAGAAATTGAGAAATCAAGCGAGATCAAACTCAGCCAACTGACTGACTCCTTGATCACTGAGGAGCTGTGTGCGTGTGCAAACATTATCCACAAAACAAATCTAGAATGATAGTGAATGCATCTTGTGCCAATGAGTTAAAACGAAGATAACCACAATTAATACTTACATCCAATTGGTGTACAACTAAAGGAATTTTGATATTGATAGAGTGTCGCTCGTTCTATAAGCTCCCCAAGGTAAGGCCGTCGCACTACATTTGGTAATCGATATCCTGGTTTACATCGACACTGGTAGCCACCTCTTCTAAAGCCATAGCCATCTAAAGGCTCACACTGCAGAGATTAAGACAATAAAGTTCAATATCATGGAAAAGTGTACAGATTTTTCTTTTTTATTAAAATTTCTATTATCTATCAATTACCATATACACCCATATTCTCATGTCAATGAATGAATGAATGGATGAATGAATGAATGAATGAATGAATGAATCAATGAATGAATGGATGAATGAATGAATGAATGAATGAATGAATGAATGAATGAATGAATCTCTCTCTCTCTCTCTCTCTCTCTCTCTCTCTCTCTCTCTCTCTCTCTCTCTCTCTCTCTCTCTCTCTCTCTCTCTCTCTCTCTCTCTCTGACATTTGTACTTTTATAGATATAGATACAGATATATAGAAATAGAGATATATCCTTATAGTTATAGTTATAATTACAATTAGTTATAGTATGATTGCAGATATACAGATATTGAAATAAACCCCTTTATTGATCAATATATATAATCACACATATATATATATACATACACATATTCTCAACACCTGCTCTGGCAACTCAGCCTTAAAAAACCCTATCACAGAATCACTCTGGATTGCTTCAAGGAAACAAACTTACCTCTGTTGTGCCCTTTTTACACTTCGAGGTGTCTGCAAACCGATTCGGACCTTCATTTCCCTCTCCTTTCGGACACTGGTTTATATCTATCCGATCAAAATCCATTTCCATCACAGACATTCCAGTAAGTGTTGGGTACTCAATGTGCCTGAATTGTGTGTGCCGAGGATATAAATCAGCTGTGAAAGATGTTAAATGGATTACTAAGCTTGAATTAATACTTGGTAATCATACTTATATTTTCTATAATTTTATATTTCTAAATGAAAAAAAGTTAATTATTATCTTTCCCATCTCTGACTGATCACTACAAGCTGAAGGTATAATCTAAGGTCAAAAGAGGATTATCACTCCATATCCATATTAATAAAAAGACTGAAGAAAGAGTGAAGAAGAGAAAAACAACTTTTCAAAAATTATGTCAGATTATTTTCTGCCAAAATTTCCAAACATACCAAAAGGTGTAATAGCAGGCACACTCCATTTGTCTGAGCGTCCACAGTCAAAGTAAGGCCGCGTGAACTTAACAGGTCCAGGGTTTTCATCTGGAGCATTTGGACCGTGGAACACATAGGTCTCATTGGTGTTGTTTGCATAACGAATCTTGACCTGTAAGTTACATTAGAGTAACATGTGAAATAAGTGAAGTTATATATAACCAGTCATTTAATTAAGTCTTCTTAAATAATCACTATATTGACCTTATTTATCTTTTTTTTATATTATTAATAACACTAATAATAATCATAACACTATCATGTGGCTCCATTAAAGTACAACTTCCTACACAACTTGTTTTACTCTTTAAAAGAATAGCCTAGAAAATTATTACCTTGTAAGGTGACACTATCTAAGATTCATGGTGTACCATTTAATTGTTAATGTTTGCTTTACAAATTTAACAAATTGGTAAAACAAACAATCATACAACCAACTAAAACACACATGGACAAAATATCATGAACATCCAGATGCATCCACTGAAATACACACCCATATAAAGTAAAACAAAAACACTCAATCCTTCCACCTACCTGATAAGTAGTGAGACCATCCTGCCGCTTATTGGTATGAGGCAGCCAAGAGTAATACCACTCATTAATGCGGTAATCCTCAAGAGTGTAGTTGTGTGACCTCTGGCCAGTGGGCATAATGGCACCCAGGTCCTCCACTTGGAAAAAGTTCAGTGTTGACAGTCTCTCCAGATGGACTGGGTCATTGTAATCATCCATTCTGTAATAAAAATCAAATCAAATTAAAACACAAATGACGAATATTGCAAGAATAGTGACATCATCCCTTCATATGTACATACATACATTTATTTGCACAATTATCCTAACATACATACACACATATATGTGTACCTGTGCATGTGCGTGTGTGTATGAATGTGTGTGTGTGCCTGTGTGTGTGCCTACAGTGTATTAAATCGGTATTATATGCCTGCATAGTCCTACGTGGAGGCTTGCAGTGGCCACGTGGCGACACGTCCTGAGCGGCGTGCCCACAACGGCTGGGCGGTTCTCCTCGCCCCCCAAGCCAGCGTCTCGGATACTTAAGGTCGCGTTCTGACCCGGTCAAGGTAGAGTGTGCCTGCTGCTGGCTGACCCAAGGTCGGCAGCCTGGCCAGCTCAGGTCAGGGCTGACCGTCCCCTCCCAGCTGACCGCGCGATACCCAAGGGTCATACTTGTGTTAACATCTCGTGTGCTTGCTCTTAAATCAATAAAGAGTTTTAAGCCACTAAGCTTTTACTATTCCCTGTCACCAATGTTTAGAGGTCCCTTATATAACCCTTTACATCCTGGTGATAGCGGTGGTAGTTGCGTCCTTTTGGTACGCAACCGAATCACCTTCCAAAGACAAACCGCTCAGCTTCAAGCAAACGCAAGATGACATTTCTTCAAGAAACTGTGAGTCCACATTTTGGGCCTCTTCTCTTTCATTTCTTTTCTATTTTTTCCTAAATGTGTTAGGCCGTGTACAGCCAGCTCACATTAGTTTTTGGGTTAAACTGCTAATTACAGCAATGGCTCACTTTCTCTCATATCTCATTCTCTGACCTCACTTCTCATTACTGTCAACCGCGGTATGGAGTTAAACATTATGAAATCGTTCATTTATTAAGCATTTATTAAATTTTTTTTCATGATTAAATTATATTGTTTCAATCATGCGAATTTTGCGCGTTCATGAATTTATTCTTTCACGAACATTCACTCATTAAATTCTTCTCTCCCCATTTCCTGTTTTGACCTGACCTCACGTGAAAGTCATTAAGTCAGCCTGCCTAAACAGCTGGTAGCTCTGACCTGACTTGACCTTGGGTGATTGTCAAAGTAATATGGCTGAGAAAACAGCTTGCAATTCCCTTTTAATTGTTTGAACTAGTGGTCACAATATAGGGTTAATGCATAGCAACCGTTACATGTTCATGGTGACAAGTCTATCGGCGCTAGAACAGAACTTGTAACGCGACTTGTATAACTAAATATAATGCCAAGAGGAATCCTCATTGAAAGGTTGCAATTATGCGTAATGACTCACGTATGAGAGTAGGTTAAGGTAACTGAAGTAGATCATACGTTCAGCAAACTTTGAGCCAGGGTGACTGCAATTATGTCCATTAATTTAGGGCTAGGATTTAAGTCTGATTTAGGATCCACTTAATTAATCACAACCCGCTCACACTTTTATATGTCTCCGTCATGTTGGGTAAAATCCCATCAGTTCGTGATTCATGATAAATCCCCGCAGGGCATTTCATGAGCGCCCATCATAGATCCGCAGATAGAGTGGGTAATTTATAGATTTTCCCAGCTCGTTTAAGCTTCATAAAATACAGAATTTTTGGGGACGGCTCCCCCCATCAAGTGAAGTCTGCATGGTCAGTAAAGACACCTACTTCCTCGGGAAAATTCCCGAGAAGA